TTTAATAATATTTTTACGAAAAAAAGATTTATTATGCATTATTATTATTATTTTTATTTATAATTAGTTTTATCTTAAAAATCAACTGCGCTAGTATCTTTTTTACAATATTCATATATTTCAAAATTTGCATCGATTCGTAAAAATTCACACTACACATATAAAATTGAAATATATAAAAGAATATATCGCTATTTGCACTAAGCAACAAACGAATATCACATTTTTTTTACATTATTACCTGTTTCATTAAAATTTAATAAAATATGAAAATATGAATTTTCGCACGAATACAACTATCAATTCAATATTTATAATTATATTCGGAATGTATACTACAGCTGATTGATGTATAATTAATTTCTCCTAGGTTAGCAAAGTTTCATCAGACTGATCAGTGTGTGCTAGAGTAGAATTATAACCTGTAAAAAGTTTCAAGTAGATCAAAGCATTGGATAAGACGTTTATGCGTTTCATTAAAATCGAGATTGTGAATGTGGAACGATGCGTTTTATGACAGCGGTGAATTTCAAGATTTTGTCTATTTTTCGGTTTCGTATGACGAATGTTCGATCATTCTGCAGAAATCATCAATCAGATTATAAAGAGTTGTCGGTGTATATACGACCACAATTTAAAAGAATAAAATTTAATGATCATGGAACATTTACTAGAAATATCCATAGTCGTCGACAAACTGCGGCCATTATTTCGATTAGATCATTTGCTACAAAACGATTCAACGATAAAGATTCACCTAAGTAAGTTTTCTTATTATAAATATTGTAAATTGTTCTTATTGTATTTTTTTAATTTTTTAAATAAAATACATTCATATTTTTAAAGAAAATAATTTCAAATTACTAATTATAATTTTCATATATGATTATAATTCAAAGAAAATTTTATTTTAAATTTGTAATATACTCAATTCCATCTTAAATAAATATATATATTTTATAGTGGAAATAATGAAGATGATATTGGAGATCCAGCCTCATTACCAGCTACAGTTGTTGTGCCTGAAGTATGGCCTCATGTTCCTGTTATAGCAATTAATAGAAACCCAGTATTTCCAAGATTTATAAAACTCATAGAACTTAGTAATCCAATTCTCATGGATTTAATTCGCAGAAAAGTCAAATTAAATCAACCATATGTTGGAATATTTTTAAAAAAATTAGAAGAGTAAGTGCTATAAACATATAAATATAAATAAAGTATAAATATATAATTTTTATGTTCGAACTTAATCATTTTGGTAGAAACGAAGCAGAGATTGTACAAAATTTAGATGATATTTACTCTGTTGGAACATTTGCACAGATACATGAAGTACAAGATTTAGGCAATCGATTAAGGTTAGTTGTAATGGCACATAGAAGAATTAAGATTGTTGGTCAAATCTTAGAAGAACTTCCAAAACCTACTCACGGTAAGTATTTAAATTTATTTATGTATATAATATATATAATATGTATATAATATGTATATAATATTTATGTATATAAATGTATAAAACTTGACAATTACATATTTTTATAAATATTAATAATACTAAAAAATTTTGAATATTTTAAAATTATTAAAAAAATAAATTTATTGAATGTCAAAAATTTTTTGTAAATTCTTTTTTTATATAGTTAATTGATATTGAATGATTATATTCATTGAATTTATCAAATAATGGATCATATTTATATTATATAAATAAATCATACATATTCAAAAGCATAATGTTTTATTTAAAAAAATTAATCATGTTTACATTTTTGACATTTACATATACAAAATAAAAAACAAATCAAGAATTGATTCTTGTTCTTTCTAAAATATTTTAATTTTATTCATTAATATTTTTTTTGTTGCTTATATACATATTACATTGTTGTTTATATACATATTTCAAATTATAGTTGTCATGTTTTATATAATATCTAATAATTTTTTATCTATTTTAATAATTTATATTAAAACAAAGTAGAAATAAAACAAATAAATTTTTTTTATTTATTAAATGTTTTTTTTTAATTCTTGCTTAAACATAAAAAATTAAATTATAATATTTATTTAATTACATTTTTTCAAATAATTTTTAATATTTATATAAATACTACTACTATACAGAAATGAAATTGACGTTTCCTCTATTAAATGCAACAATTCACGTCCCTGTAGACGATTCAATTTCTGGTGGCAAACCAAGCCGTAGGTCATTAATTCGTAAAAAAACAGAAAACAAAGTGCCAGAACAGGATAAAATACAGAAAATTGAGGAAATTAATATATCAGAAAATAAGATCACAGAAGGAATGCAGGAAAAAGTTGAAGAAAAAGTTAATCCTCCAACAGATTCTACAGCACAAACTAACACTCAACCTTTGTTAATGGTAGAAGTTGTAAATATCACCCATGAGAAATTTAGACAAACTGAAGAAATTAAGGTGAATTTAAATAATATTCTTTATCTAAGACTTATAAGTTAACATTGTATAATAGAGTCGAATTTCAAGAAAAAACATCAAAAATCTTTGATTTATAGAAGTTATTGTTAATAGAAATATGATCTCATTTAATTGAAACATATGAATATTGTTTTTAGAAATCTATCTAATCTATCATCTAACTGATAAGAAATCCTACATTTATAGAAGTTTTCGTAACAAAACAGAAAGGAATAAATAAAATTTTGGTTTTATAGATATTTAAATTATAAAGTTTAAAGCTTTTTTATTAAGATTAAGCTTTTTTTATTAAGATTTAACTTCGTATTTATTAATTGTTCTTGTTTGATGAAAAACATAAAAAAAAAACAGATGGTTCACAAAAATTATTAGATGAATGCGTAATGATGCATAACATCAAGTATATGTATATATTGTAAAAAAGCTTGGAAATAGCGTATTATATATATTTCTTTTTTGTAATTATTTATTGATTTGCATTTGCTATTGCTTAAGATGGACTATGTCCAATAAAATTATTCAGCAACATTTTGCCAACATTAATTCTATACAATTAACAATCTTTACGAAATAATCTATAATATAAATACAATAAATAAAAATTCCAAATTTCATCAAGACAATAATATCAATTATTTGATCCTTGAAGAAGTTTATTGTAATGTTGATATAAAATTCAAAAATAAAATGTCTATTAGATATGATTCTATAAAAAATTTTAAGCTATAACAAAAACATAAATCTATTGTAATATTGTAAAATTGTAAGAATGTCAAATTTATTAATTTATTGAAAAATAATCAAAAAGAAATATAATAAGTTTTGATACTTGAAAAATACTAAATTGTTTATAGATTATATAATAGTAACATGAATTTTGCATGTTCATTATTTATAATTCTTTAAAAAATTGTCATTTTTAAATTAATTTTTATATCATTTCATATTGAGATTTTTAATTTAATTTCAATTTTATTATAAGAAAAATTGATTTAATATACAGGCTTTGACACAAGAATTAATAAAAACTATTAGAGATATAATAAGTATGAATCCATTATACCGTGAATCTTTGCAACAAATGTTACATCAAGGACAGAGAGTTGTAGATAATCCAGTTTATTTAAGTGATCTGGGTGCAGCTTTAACAGGAGCAGATGCACAAGAATTACAACAAGTATTAGAAGAAATGGATGTAAGTTATTGTATTTATAATTATTATTATAATTAATTTTTTAAATAACTAAAACATCTTTTAAATAAATATACTTATAGATTTTGAAAAGATTAAGATTATCATTGGCACTTTTAAAAAAAGAATATGAATTAAGTAAACTTCAACAAAAAATTGGTAGAGAAGTTGAAGAAAAAGTCAAACAGCAACATAGAAAATACATTCTTCATGAACAATTAAAAGTTATTAAAAAAGAATTGGGACTTGAAAAAGATGATAAAGATGCTATAGGAGAAAAATATAGAGAACGTATAAGAGAAAAAACAGTTCCAAAAACAGTAATGGATGTGCTTGAAGAAGAATTAAACAAATTAAATTTCTTAGAAAGTCACAGTAGCGAATTTAAGTATGTTTTTTAATTTTGTAATTTATATATAAAAAAATTTTACAATTATATTATCAATATTTACAATTATAATATTTACAATATTTACATATTAAACGAAATATTATTTTTAACTTAAATAATTTAACTAATTTTTTAATTTGGTAGTTTAATTTTATTTCCAGTGTGACAAGAAATTACTTGGATTGGCTTACATCTATGCCATGGGGTGTAACTAGTACAGAAAATTTAAATCTTCAGCAAGCAATTGAAATTTTGGATAAAGACCATTATGGAATGGAAGATATAAAAAAACGAATTTTGGGTAATTGAATATTTAATAAATTAACTATAATTAAAAATAATTAACTATAATTTATAAATTATATAAAATCTATTTATTTTTTATTGTTTTATTTTCAGAATTTATTGCTGTCAGTCAATTAAAGGGTTCGACACAAGGAAAAATATTATGTTTTCATGGTCCACCAGGTGTTGGAAAAACATCAATAGCTAAATCAATTTCTCGTGCACTTAACAGAGAGTATTTCAGATTTAGTGTTGGTGGAATGACAGACGTAGCAGAAATCAAAGGTCATAGAAGAACTTATGTGGGTGCTATGCCTGGTAAAATTATTCAATGTTTAAAAAAAACCAAGACTGAAAATCCGCTCGTTCTTATCGATGAAGTTGATAAGATTGGAAAGTATGTAATTATTAATAAATATTGTATATATAGTAAAATATTATATTTTAAATACATATGTATACATATATTTTTTCTTTTTTTAGAGGACATCAAGGTGATCCAGCATCAGCTCTTTTAGAAATGTTAGATCCAGAACAAAATGCAAACTTTTTAGATCATTATTTAGATGTTCCCGTTGATTTATCAAAAGTGCTTTTCATTTGCACTGCGAATGTGATTGATACAATTCCAGAACCTTTAAGAGATCGTATGGAAATGATAGATATGTCAGGTTACGTCGCAGAAGAAAAACTTGCAATTGCTAAACAGTATTTAGTACCGCAAGCGATGAATGATTCAGGTCTCAATAATGGACAGATCAATATAAACGATAATGCACTTCACGCGTTAATTAAATCTTATTGTCGGGAATCGGGAGTAAGGAGTCTTCAAAAACATATAGAGAAAGTTCATCGAAAAGTTGCATTCAAAGTTGTTAAGAAAGAAGCGGAAAAAGTAGATGTAACTATGGACAATTTACACGAATTTGTTGGAAAACCTGTATTTACACATGACAGAATGTATGAAATTACACCTCCTGGAGTTGTTATGGGTCTTGCATGGACAGCTATGGGAGGTTCTACTTTGTTTATAGAAACAAGAATTAGAAAACCTTCTACCGGCAAAAAATCGGAAGGTACTTTAGAATTCACCGGTCATTTAGGTGACGTGATGAAAGAATCTATTCATATAGCAATGACAGTTGCAAGAAACTTTTTGAATCAGGAAGATCCATCTAATAGTTTTTTGATCGATTCTCATTTGCATTTGCACGTACCTGAAGGTGCTACTCCAAAAGATGGTCCCAGCGCAGGTATTACTATCGCAATAGCATTCATTTCGCTTGCAAAAAATCAACCAATTAGACAAAATGTTGCAATGACTGGTGAACTTAGTCTCATGGGTAGAGTTCTTCCTGTTGGTGGTATTAAAGAAAAAACGATTGCTGTAAGTATAAGTAAAATAAATATTTTATTATATTCTTTTATATAATAATTATTATTTAACATATATATTTTCTTTTTTTTTTTCTTTTTTTTTTTTAAGGCAAAACGAGTTGGTGTAAACTGTGTAATTCTACCTGAGGAAAATAAAAAAGATTATAATGATCTTCCTAAATATATTACGGATGGTTTAGAAGTTCATTTTGCTTCGACTTTCGAAGATGTATATCGTATATGCTTTACACCACAGAAAAAAACTAGTACTGTTCATCATCAAAAAAGCTTAGATCTTGATATTTCACCACCGCAAACCGCACCACTTTTGAGTAAAAATATCGATTGAATTGTATTTAAGAGAATTAAGTACTTAAAGGCATTTTAAAGGTTGATTGCTGTACGACTTTGTGTGCATGATCCATTTAAAAGAATTAGATTTAAAAATAATTGAATCTATTTTGACATATTGTTTTATATAGTATCATAGAAATAAAAATGTAGAGTAATAATTTAATTTTGAAAGAAAAAATTGAAAATCTCACGAATTCATTTCATTTTAATTTCAATTTCATTAATGAATGATATATTTTTTTTTAATATCGAAATGAATTAAAAATTATCAAGAATATTATTATTACTGTCAAAATATATTTATATCTTTTTTTTAATAAACAATTTATTAAAAAAATATTTTATATACAAAATAATATTCTTTGTTATTATCATATATTCAATAATAATAGCAACAGAACATTTATGATATAATGTAAGACTTGTTTGTATGCAGATTATTCTGCATTGTACAGTGCTGTTTGCTACAGAAATAAAAACTATGTATATAATTCATAGAAGACAACAAAGACTAAAAGTCTTAATTAAAAAAATAATGTTTCCTACAAATAGATATTTATTAATATCCTTATATAAAAAAAACTATTAACACAATTACATTGTTTTTTAAATTATTTATATAATAAAAACAAATTACTAGGAATTAAATTATTTATAGGATAAAAAGAAATTATTTTAAAAAGGTGCTACTGTACAAAAAAAGATACTATATTAATTGAACTATTGTACAATTTGTTGAAATAAATAATTATAATAAAAATCATACAATTTAAAAATTTATTTAAAAATAATTAGAAAAATTCGTATTTTTATAAATTATATTATATTAACTTGGAACTTCCATTTTACTTAGTCTAATGATAAAGTCACATAATCTCATTTGTACTTGAATTTCCGTTGGATTATTTGTAACATAAAAACCAGGTACACCAGCCTTTTCTAAAATACTTTGTTGATCTGCTACTTTTTGATCCAATTGTAAAACTAATTTCATATCCATTTGTTTAAGTTCTTCTTTGTGTTTTTTATGTAATGCTGTTTTTATTGATATTCTTTCTTCATCTATAGATATTGATGATAATGATTCTTGCATTTCAATTTTTTGTTGATTTAATAGTTGAAGACGTTGTTGAAAAAGATGTTTTTCTGTAACATGCTGTATTTCCATTAATCCCTTAACAATTTCAAATATTGTATCATTTAATAAAGAATTAGCTAAACCAGATAATAATTCATATGGAAGACGCATCTGATATTTTGGAGGAAGTTCACCAGCCATGTGTTGAAGTTGTTCCACTAAAAAGTACAGTTTTCTTTGTAGATCTTGAGGTGTTGGAGTAGCAACATCCATTGTTTCATCATCAAAATGTACTAATAAAATATACTAATTTTAATAAATTTATAATAATCTTACTATTATTTTATTTACATATTAAAAAATGAAATTGAGGTTAATTTTATAGTACTATTTTTTATTAATACAGTACATTAATAAAATTTGTTAAGTAATTTTTAGGTAAAATAACATAGAGTAAAAACAGATTTATAAATAAATAGTAGATTATTTGTTTTATTAAAAATATGAAAAACTGATTGACATTAAGCAAGTTAAAGCATTGTTTACAACAATCAATTAGTAAATATTAAATGCAATGCTTATGTATTATGTAATTATATTATAATAAACATAATTCTAAAATAAAGTTTCAAGCTATAGAAAGGACAAAAGACTAACATGTATATTTTAACTCATCGAATTAAATTTTTTTAATCATTAACATAGTTTTAAAATATTCTATTTGGCAACACTGTTGCGTAAGTTTTCCAGGTGACTTTCCTGCGACAATTATAAGTAAACCATATGTACGTATACATACGTGCAATTGTGGTGAGCTCCGCACGTCGTGGGAGGTTTCTGGAGTTAGGCGAGGGCGAATGTCGAATTTTCTTACTGTGGGACGGAGATGCGCGTGTCAAGAGACCGCGGGAAAATGAATAATGACGAAGCGGCCAGGAAGTGAAAAATGATCGAAGCAAAATGAGGAGGGCGTATAACACTGCAGCAGATGTCCGAACGACTGATTGTCTTGAACAAACAAGACGTTTACACAAGTAATATTCAACTATAATAACATCAGAATTCCTTTTTCTTTCCACTACTTATCCGACATTATATTTGGAAGAATTTTTTCACAGTTAGTGGAACATCTAAATTTAACTTGTGTTAACATAACCTATACTCATATACCATGATCTTCTATTGGCGCGCTTTTATGCATAGTTCACGTTTATTAGTTAGAGAACCTTCTCTGTGAAAAGATATGTTATTAATCCGTATATATTGTACATATATTTTTATGCTATTTGTTTGAATGTGATTTTTTTTTAATGTAAACCAACTATAAAACAAATTTATACATTTAAACTGTAATCCTGTATTACAAGTCTTATATAAAAATTTGTTAATATAGTTGTAATTTTTTATTTTAATTATTATTTTTTAGCAATATTTTTTTAAATAATATTAATATTTAATTCATCAATAATAATAAACACTTGCAATAGCAATTTTTTAATATCTTTTGAAAATTTTTATTCTATATATATATTCTATAGATGAAATATTAAAATTTATTTAAAAATTGATATTGAAATTTATATTATTTAGTAATATATATAATATGAAAAATGTAATAATATGGAATTTTATAATAAATATGAATTTATTGTAAAAAGATATATATAATAATTAGAAATTATATTTTATTAATAGGGGTATAACAGATATTGCCAAAAGATTAGATGAACAAAAAAGCCGTGCATTAACAATAACAGATTTATTTACCCCTTCAGGGGAAACACTACGAGTGAAACTTAAAGATTATTGTGTACGGTTAATAACTAAAGATCCTGTTGAGTATGCACGTAAAACTGAAGAATTATTATGGAGAAAAGCATTTTATGATATTGTTTATGCATCTAAAAAATTACGAAAGGTATAAACATTTATAAATAATTAATTGTATAATTAAATGTATAATTATAAATTATACTTTATACAAAATTTTATTCATTATTGTTTTTATAAAAATAACATTAATTTTAGAGTAATAAATTTTGTTTAGGGTAATGCATGGACTGAAACAGAAAAAGCAATGTTATCTGTCCATTTGGCAGTAGGGGTTGGATTTTACCATCATTTAATATTAAAACTACAATTAGAATATAATTTAGATCTAGTTGGTACTATTGATTTTGCATTTATGCAAAATGTAACAGAATTATCAAGTGTAAGTTTCTTTGAAATATCTGTATTACATAAATTATATAATATACATATAAATATGTATAATTACATAAACTTTGATTTTCTGTCCTAAATTTGTTGACTTTTTTTTTATGAAAATGTATAATTAGTATTTTTTATTAATAAATGATTTAAAATCATTATAAAAAATTAGGAAATTTGTAATTTGATAACATTTTTGTGTATAAAATAATAATTGTGTATAAATAAATTATTAAATATTTTTATAAAAAGATATAATATATTTAAATCAAATATGTTCAATAATCCATATGATTTTTTGATATTTTATATATATAATAGAAAAAATTAATTATAATAAATATTATGTTCAATAGAATTAATCTAACTCTTCATCTTTTTGTATTTTATTAGGCAAAGAATAAGACCAATCAATCTAAACATCATACTGAAGAAGTGAAATTATGTGTTATGCGCTTGATTCATAGAAGTTTGGTATGCCTTGGAGATTTAGCTAGATATAAATTAGAATTAGATCCATATTGGGATCCAATGATAGCAAAGAGGTATTATAAAATGGCTATAGTGATTGATCCAAATATTGGAATGCCACATAATCAGTTGGGCACTATAGCAGGCAATACAAATTATGGTCTTGATGCAGTGTATCACTATATGAGATGGTTAGAATATCTTTTTATTTTATTTAAATAAAAGCATTTTTTTATTTATTATAATAGAAATTTATAGAAATTTTTATAGAAATTTGTTAAAAATACTATATATATTTTATGAGATATTATTTTCTTTCTTTTAGAAGTTTATTGTATTTTTATAAATAAATATATAGATATATAAATATATAGATATATTTAAATATATTCTACATTTTTAATATATATTAACGCTAATTATTTTATAGCATTTTATGTTCTGAACCATTTGAAGGAGCAGAAGGAAACTTAAAGAGAGCCATTGTTACACATTCTGTTTGTACAGATGAAAAATGTCCTACACACATGTGTGTTTCAAGATTGTTTTCTCTACTACAATTATGGGATTATGATGTACCAAATTCTGATAGAATAAATCAAGAATGTCAGGTATTTGAATTAATATATTTATTTAATATATTATATATTTATTTCTATTTATTATAA